TCAAAGTGAGATTGAAAGCCTTGCCATGGGGGGGGTGTATTTGTAGTCGAACCGTGTGAGGAGGTGTGGAGCATCTTCCGCCTGCAGCTCAGCTCGTCATTATTCGCCTCCATATTTGGGTCATATAGTCCCTCTGTGGCGCCTTCATTTGCATAATCGTAGAATCTCGTATCTGAAGCGGTTTTATTTCCATCTACTTGCTGTTCTTTAAAATCGTGGACATTTTTAGTCGAGGAAAAATGTTTTCAAGCAAAAACATGATCAGTTCTATTAGCAAATATAATATTTTAAGATAAATTTAAATTGAGATATTAAAAGCAGACTGAATGTTTTGTGCTTGTTGATTATAAATCTGCTAAACAAGCATATATTTAATATTGTAAAAGGTTTATACTTTAGAAATCAGTCAGGGGGTTTATTGTCCAACATGGCGGGGGGGCAGAGGTCAACCAGTGGGTAAATATGTCCCACCATCACATGCCGTGTGGTAAAGATCATCCTCTCTATGCAGCTCTGACCTTCAGCCGCCAAATGAACAGGTAACCTCCTGATCAGGCTGCCCAGGTGCTGAGGAACGCGTACGCCATCTGCTGGCGGGTCTACATATTTCAGCTCCTTTTTATTCTATTATTTACTGGATGTTTGCCAAATATTATCCAGCCAGACGCTTCAGTCGGCTCATCAGAATGTTTTATAGTTACTACTGTTTTTTTTTTTTTTTGTTTTTTTGGTACCCTGCTTTACAACAACTCTCATATTTTAAAATATATATTTATGGACAATGGATGATCATATATACAGACATTCCCTGTAATGACTTAAACACTAAATGTGCATCTTATAAAAAAGGCAGATTTCATCTGAGAAAATTGGGTTATTTTTGTCAAGATGATAAAATATTTGTGAAAAATACTCTTAAATTAATTACTTCCTTTGTTAAATACTAATTCCTCCCTAGTGTTAGGATTATTTCTGTTATTCATGTATGTGCTTATTAAACCCTGATATTAACTGCCTGTTAGTGTCAAGATGAATGTTTTAGGGCGGCTGTTCTGTCAGGATAAAAGTTAATCATCTTTATTATGCAGAGACAAAGATTGGAAG